ATATATATATATATATATATATATATATATATATATATATTACTATGGAACAAATTTATATTTAAAATAATTAATTTACACTTTGCATGGAACATTTTTTAACTTAAAGAAAAACAGTAAATAGCTTAATGACTAATATAATATTTACACGTATTGACTTATTGCTGTTAGTTATTTTCCTTCCACGTATAAGTTTGAGGGTGACAAAGGCTTAAATGCTGATGTAGAGGACATAGTAAGGCGATGTTGTTTAACAGAAGAGTTGATATTGGATGGTCCCGGTACAGAGCCATTCTGCTGTTCTCGGCGTTCTCTGGCTCGACGATTTTGGAACCATATTTTTATCTATTAACAAAAATGAGTAAATCACGCATTTTTTTTTAAATTAAAATTGTTTTTTTTTTTAACTCAATAAAGAATTGCTTTAGTTATGAATTGTAACAGTAAAAATGTATTAAGCGGCTGTAATTAAAAACAAACGAATAACATAAATTGTATTATTTAATAACGATATACATCATGATACAAATATGTCATTAAATATTAGATATTATAAACATATTTTTTTTTTAAATATTTTTAGGTATTTAAATGCAATATTATAGATATATAATAATAAAACTGTTCAATACAAAACCATGCATAGTTTTACAAATTTATATATATTTAATATTCATTTTTAAAAATGTATTATGTCTCAATTAGGTGTATAAATAATTTTTTTTTTATAATCAAGTATACCACTTATTTTAGAACAACAATAAATATATTTGGATATCTGAAACGACGAGGAAATTGTTACAAGTACAATTTTAGAAGGATAGATTTTAGACGAAAGAACTAGAGAAAGACTTAGAATATCTATTCTCAAGAGCAGTGGTCTTTAAGCTGTGGGAAGCTGCGTACCAAGTCACAAAATAATTTTAACTGGCCACCCCCAAAGAACGGTAAATAATCTAAAAATTTGTGTAATATCCAAAGTAAATATTTAGTATATTTATATTTATATGTAATTCTATAAAATTAAAAAATGTCAAGTGTTCAAAAGTGTCGTCTTGCTAAGCAGGATCGTCTTAGGTTATGCAGGGGCCCATCAGTACCCGGAACTTAGGGGCTTTTTAGTATGCCAAAAAAAAGTTGAATAAAAACTATAAAAGTTTATTTTATATGATGACTTTATAAGTTATTTAACTTTAAATTTTACCGAAATAGAAATTATGAGTTCTTTCCATCTTTCTGAACCACTCAAATATGTCCTTTTTGGCATACTTAAATGAGACAATAATTCCATTAGAGACACTAATAAAATATTATATTATATAAAATATTATTAATATTATCAAAATATTTTATTGTTATATTTTATATTTTACAAATATTAAATAGACTAATATAGCTGAAATAAACAGCACACTTGTACTGACTGTCAGATTTATTGTAAATGTACAGAAAACGTTTAAAATCGAATTCCCATTTATTTCACTGCTTTGATATTATTTGTATAAGATAGATAAGTCAGTACTTGCGTCAATGTCATTAATTGACTCAATGCGCATAGCTACATAAAGTAAAATAATTTTATGTATATATAATAATAATAAAAGATATCTAATGTAATTAATTGCACACAATTAAGCATTTATTATTTATTTAATATTTTACAATGCCCTTTTCTGTTTTTTTTCTCTAGAATTTAGAATTTTTTTTTCGAAGATGATTGCATCAATACTTAATTGCTTGAAATTTGAAGTTGTAATTTATATTAGGGACCAATCGTAAGATTAGGACCCTATGTGCCCATAAGATAAAAATGAAACTGTCGCTAAGAGCTTTTGATATTTTATATAGCCCTTGTATGAAAAAATTTGGAAACCCCTGCTCAAGAGCAATATATCGCACACTAATTCTATGAGTTATATAACTTTAAAAGAAACTCCTAAAGAATGTTCACTTGACAAAGCATAGCTTTTAAGAACAAAGAGAGAGAGAGTGAGATTGAGAGAAAGAGAGATTTTAAAAAAGATGAAAAAAGAAAAAGAGATTGTAAAATACTTATTCATTATTCATTTTTAGCCAGAAATAGTACGAATTTTTTGATAAATGTTGTTGTTATTAACAAATATTATTGTTATGTGTAAAAGTCACAATAATTATTATTGTTAAATCCATACATGTATTGATTATGTATAAAATTATGTATTGTATATTAAATTAAAAATATAATTATTGTACTAACCCTACTCTCTGATAATCGCAATTTTTCAGACAACACATGAACATCGTTCATGCCTCCTAAATATGCACTGCGTCGAAATTCATGCTCCAAAACAGATACTTGTTGAGTGGTAAACGGTATTCTCGGGTTACGTCCAGGTCTACGCTTTTGCCTTTGTTGACCGTCTTTCCTTTTGATTCCTAAACATTTTTAAATAAGATAACATTTAATTAAACATGGACGCAGAATATTAAATAATTTTCTGTTCGACCATATAAATGAAAAAATGTTCAGGTTTATCTTTTACATTCAAAGTCTACGTATACAGTGGATTCCGCTTTATGTGGATACTGGTTGATATGGGCATCCGCGAAATATTAGCAAAATGGTCTGATCCTAAATACAATGAATACTAACAAGGTTAAAAAAAAAATTAATATTACATGGTTATGCGGTTCGAGTAATGTGGACAAAATTTATTTTATTATAGTGTTAGAATGTGATTTAACAACTAATACTATTAAGTTTCATCGTATATATGAGATTGTGTTTAGCAAAAGTAATAAAAATAATTATCTTTTAAACCTTAATAGGAATTTGTTGTGAATTTAATTAAAGGTATAGAAGTTTAATCGAGAACAATATAAAAAAAAACGAACGATAAACTTGTAGCTTTCTTTCTCTAACATGATAATCATTTCAGTTTACCGTGAATTTCAAGGCGATCGTGAAAGTTTTTGATTAAGTCTCGAAAATATCTTTTCTTTTCCTTACTTTAATAAATTAAAAAATCGCGATTTTGAATAAAGTGAAGTCTCTTCCTCCGGGCATTTTACAATGTAAAATTGCTTAAAAATTATGTGTACCGAAATTATTTTATTCATTATTATCTTGTATATTTATTTATCTATTAATTTGATTTGACATTTTTTTCAAATTGAATTGCTTACGTATGAAAAATAAAAACTTCTTAATATTAAAAATATTAGTGTTTTTGAACTAAGTTCAGTTTAAATGACTAACCGCTCAATATTGGTAAATGGGTTTAGTACTAACGTGTTATTGATTCAGTAGAATCCATTGTATTATCTTAAAATTTTTGATTTTTCACTCTATTGTTATTCTACATACAAATAATTTTTTCATAACTATAATAATAATTATAATATTTCGTTAATTTAAAAGTAGGTAATTTTTACGTCAGTTACATTAATTTTATTTCTCGTACAGTACTATAAACAATGTTGTTTATATATTTACTAGCTGAATTACCCGGCTTCGCCCGTGTATAGTTTTTGCTTTCTCAAAATGAAATTGTTAAATCAACACACTTTTTTGTGTTTTAAAGAAAAAAAAAATTATTTTACTTAATGCTAACAAGTGCTAAATAGTAGTAGCAGCTGAATTATAAACAAAACAAAAAAAAAAATAATAATAATATTTACAAATGACTCTTTACGTAGTTGCTAAATATTCTAATATGGCTTAAGTCAAAACCTCTTGGTATACCACATTCTGAGTTTTATTTAATGGTTCACAGAGGTATAAATGGTCAGGTCTTCCAACTCTAGACAATGCCACATAATAACCCATGTGAAAAGCAGTTATTTTCCAAATCTATACCACAATAAGTTAAAGTCTAACCTTGAGCTTTGTTTATTATCATTGCAAAACAGACTTTTATTGGAAATTGAACTCTTCTAAACTTAACTGGAAAATCGTTGGGGTATAATAGTATTTTCGGTAAAAATATTTTTTCTCTCTTAGCACATCCGGTCAAAATTTCAGCTTTAATTATATTTTTTGTAAGAGAGGTTATGCGGAGCCTAGTCCCATTTTATAATCCAGAAGAATTTAAATTTTTCAATATTATGATTGGAACTCCCACCTTTAGTGATATTTTATGAGGAGGCATACCAGACGGTGTTTGTGAATTTAAAAACTCGGTTAGTGTGTAATAGCGAATAAGATTGTGATCAGAAAGATTTCTCTGATAATCATAAACAAATGGAGGAATATTAATTTAAAAAAAAATATGGTCTTATTGATACATTGGAGAAAAGGGACATAATTTTATGAATTTCTCAACAGTTTTCTCAATAATTCTGAAAAAAAAAAACGAAAAATTATAAAAAGAAATAATTATATTTACAGCTACTGATTTTCGAAAAAGTAGAATTTTTGTTTTATTGTAACTCAAAAATTAATAATTTTAATTACATGAAATTTTCACTTGAAAATGTAGTAAATTTTCGTGATTTTTATCATTTTGTTAAAATTTAACAATTAAACATTCTATTTTTTTAATTTTTTTTTTTTTAACCTCAACTATTTTTTGATCAGTAAAAGATATATATGAGGATATTTGAATTACATTTTCAAGACTATTTTATAACCATAAATATTTCATCGACATTTTCGAAAAAACTACGAAAACATAAAAACTTCAATTTTTTTTTAAATAGCCTTAACAAACAATAAGATGTGATGATCGAAACTATCCTTCTGGTAAAAATTGAAAACTCAAAAAAAAAAAAAAGTAGCGCATGATAAAATAACTAGTAGTGAAGTTTTTAATTATGAATCTCAATGGAAAAGTCTTTTGCAATTTTTTTTTTTAGTTTTAATTTCAATTTTTCGGAAACTTGTGAGGAATTCAAAAAATGATATACCGAAATTACTATACAGTGTGTTTCTTTTTAAAGGTAACACTAAATAATTCTGTCCAGTGATATTAGATTGATATGTGGTTTTCGGGAAGAGATAGGGAATACTTAAATACACATTTTTTGATGATTTTTACATTTTTGCATCTTTCAGTGTGCACATGCGCAATACAACTTGCATTTTTTTTACATGAAATTAGGTGTTTTGAATGCCAAATTCGAATAGACTGAATTTTTTTAAGTAAATTTGTTCCTTTTTACCATATCTCTAAAATCAAAATTATCCAAATGACAACGAGTAAAAGTTTCGATTAAAATTATTGAATTTTTCAACAGGTATACTAGAATGTTATGAATTATTATGAAATTTGAAATCTTCTATTATTAAAGTTTCAATTTAAATTATTACTTTTATTATTTATTGTTATTTTTCGTGATACATGTGGGTAATTACTTGTAATCTCTATGATTATTTTATTTGTAGCTTTTACTAAAATAAACCAAATATATTTATCGTGTACTAAGAATGATATTATCTTAAAGTTCGTATTATAAATCTAACAATAATAATTTATTATAACTGATAAATTATAGCATTTGTTTAAATGTAGTTATTGAAAGTCATTACAAGTTTTAAACTCGTATGTAATGCACGTATTTTATTAAAATTTGAAAATGCCAAGTGACAATGAAAAAGTTGATATACTTTTAGTTTATGGTAAATTCACGAAATGCCGCTAGATTTTATGCAGAACGATATCCTGAACAATATCACCCTTCACACAATTATTTTGTCCGAATTTTATTGTCTTTGAGATATAGTGGTGAGCTACCTGCAAGACAAGGTAATAATCGACGAAATCAAAGACAGGTGATTGGAGAGGCTAACATACAGGACGAATTGCAGGTATTAGCATATGTTCAATTAAACCCTTGATTTCGATTAGGCATTTAAGCAACGAAATTGGAATATCTATTAAAAAAGTTCATACAATTTTGAAAAAAAAATAAACTACACCTGTATAGGCCTGATTTAGTACAAAAGGTGGTATCAGGTGATTCTAAGCATAGACTTCAACTTATTGTATGGTTTATGGTGCAATTACACGACGATCCCGATTTTTTACAATTTATCTGTTGGACCGACAAATCTAAGTTTACCAACAACGGTATAATTAATAAACAAAATAATCGGTATTGGGCTGATCACAATCCATATTATACGACTGATACAAATCACCAAACAGTTTGAGGAAGTAACGTTTGGTGTGGGCTATTCGATGGGAGACTTCTCGGCCCGTATTTTTACGATGGTACACTTACTGGGAGAAGATACTTGGAGTTTTTAACCGATGTTTTACCTACATACATGGACGATATTCTATTAGAGATTAGAAATAATGTATTTTTCAATATGATGGAGCACCTGCACATAATGCAATTATTGTAAGAAAGTATTTATAAAATAAATTTGGCAATCGATGGATGGGTTACATACGGAGCAGTAGCTTGGCCATCAAGATTTTTAGATCTCACGTCATTAGATTTTTTTCTGTAGGGACATTTGAAGAATATAGTGTATTCAACTCCACCTTTAAATATTCAAGATCTTTGAAATAAAATCATAAATGCTTGTGCAAAACTTACAAAGGAACAGATATTAGCAGCTACTCAAAGAGAAGTGATTCATCGACTTCAATCATGGATGGAGAATGATGGGACTAAATTTTGAAAAATTTATTAGAAAGTTATTAGACATTTTTTACCTAAATAAATAATAGAAATTATTAAAATTATAAAAATTGTGTTAATTAGTTTAATCTTTTCTCTGTAAATTAAACATTTACGTCTAATTGATGTTAATTAATTCCTCAAAATTAAATTAAAATGATTTAAAAATGTCTGCAAACCTATGGATACAAAAAAAATTAATTTAAATTTCATAATAATTCATAAAATTCTAGTATGTCTGTTGAAAAATTCAATAATTTTAATCGAAACTTTTACTCGTTGTCATTTGGTCCATTTTGATTTTAGAGATATGGTAAAAAGGACCAAATTGACTTAAAAAAATTCGGTCTATCCAAATTTGGTATTTAGAATACCTGTTGCCATTTAAAAAAAGCAAGTTTTATTGCTGAAAAATCCAAAAATGTGAAAATCATCAAGAAATGTGTATTTATGTATTCCCTATCCCTTCCCGAAAACCTCATATCAATTTGATATCAATGGACAGAATTATTTAGTGTTACCTTTAAAAAGAAACACATTGTATATAGTAAACATTTCCAATCTTTAAATGTTTGTTTGACGTTGACAAGAGCACTTTTTGTAGTCTAAACAAACACAAAAAAAAAAAAAAAACACATCATAGTACAACCAATACATCCCTCGTTTCACTCAGAATCTGAAAATAAATTCGACTATTTGTAATAATATCGTTCACTGAAACTCATATGAAAAATGTAGAGAAAAGATAAATTCAACCGAAGATAGAAGATAACTTATATAATTGTTTACTTCCCAAATTGCAGAAGATTTGATCCGAAAATGTCATAAAATCTAAAATGCATACCCTGTGGTGGAATTGAAGATAACATAATAGAGAAAACAACAATAGAGATACGATCAAGTTCATATATAAAATTTTAATTAAAAATTACTTCGCATAATTACCATAACTATTGTAAAAATATTGACAGAAACAAATTCTTAGGTTAATTTTTCTAATTAAAATTTGTTATGAATTATGCACTTATACAGGTGTATTTAAAATAAATCTAATGGTATTATTACTTACTGTCGAGTTTAGGAGGCTTAAATCGTGTACAGTAGAGCCAGTCAAACTGTTGACTATTTTGCTTGTCAGCATCAGTTTCATCATTTGCATCGCCCGCTTTATTCAATATATAATCAATGCTAAATAAAAACATTGGTTTTCTTTTTTGATCATCATCGTCGTGGACATTGAGTTCTATATTTTTTTTAGGATGTTCTGCAGTGTTTGCGTTCACTTGAATTGTTTCTGGTTCTTGAGTTTTCGGCATCATTCGTGGTATCAGTCTATATAATTTAATACATATTAAATATTTTAAATTAGAATTTTATATAAAATGATTCATTTATCATATTTAACAATATAAAATATTTTAGAAAGAAAAATATTGAAAATCACGGAATTTTATGCATTATATTAATTTTACAGTTTATATCATTAGCAGATGTAATAATACACGAAAAGAGTAGTTACTTGCTGAGTAAATAAATATTTATTAAAAATCAAATAAAGAAACAAATTATATTAAATGAGTATTGATTTATGGTACTATTTTTAATAGTAAAAATATAATTTGGTCTTTTCTGTTAATTATTTCACAGAGAAAACTGTATTTAAACACGTTTGTTATTTTTATTAATCTTAATTAGATTGTCTACTGGGTCCTTAGTTATTAGTTAACGTTTTATTTACATATGGTATACAGTTGAGTTGAGTTTATGCTAATAAAAGGTTGTATAATTTTATTTTTATTTTTTAAATAAATTTTAATATAGCTAATTAAGTATGTTAGATAAAACACTAATTTAATGATATTTAACTTTAACAATTATACATTAATATAAATTCAAAAGAATGCAATAATAAACATGTATTTTTTCGATATTTAAAATAATATAAAATAGGTTAGGTCATTTAATAATAATGTATTTAAATAACACTTCAGCTCATATATTAAATAGGTATGATATTTTGGTCGAGGTAATTGATAATAATAGTATTTTGATATTTAATTTTTTGTACACATCCGTTTTGATTTAATAACAATCGGTTTACTTGATAACATTGATAACTTATGATACAAGCGAATGAAAAAAAAAAATGAATTTCTAGATAACATTTTATTTCAGATAAGCTGTAAAACTTGTTGTTTAATTAATTTATTTACACTCCAATGTATTGTATGCATATTTTAATAAATAGACTAGTAGTCTTAACAAAATTTATTAAGAATTAAAGATTTTTGCACGCATTCTTTGCTTGGTCAAAAGTCATATAATTTCCAAGGGCATAAATGCGAATCGATAACATGAGTTATAGTTTTTATTTTTATTTTTTTAACTATAGAGACTTGTAGAAAACACATATATGTAAAGTATATTTTACTTTGAATTTTTACAGGACTATACGTTGTAATTTATGTATAAACATTGCAGCATATTTTTAAGCAAATTGTAGTATTGTAACAATTACAAAACGGACCCGGACATCTCAGCGTGGCCATTTCGACGTCGCTGTCTCGATGTAAACCATTTTAACGTGAACCCATTCCGGCGTGCATTCAATTCTTTTAGACTTATATTCTTAAATTTGATTTTTATTATAATCGTGCTATATGCCGGTATAGTATATGATTTTAAACATGCTACATAAATTACATTTGTGTAAATTATATTATACGAACGGTACGGCATCAGCCAACAAAAATAATGATAATAATGATTATCCTTTTAAATATCAAATCTAATATAAATAAAATTAAAGTAAACTAATGACAACTAATATTATGGGCTATCCCCCTTAAAAAACTAATGATGTCATGATTGTTATAATTATTTACAAGTTTTTTTTATTCTTTTATCTACATCGATATACTTTTTTTTTTTTCCGTGGGGGACTTTTTCTAGCTTCTAATTGATTATAAAATGTATCACGACCAGATTGTACTTTTCTCAAACAAGAAATGAATATCCATAAGGTTGGATGTTGCACATCCATTTGTAAATTAAATCGTCTGTTGGTTGCCTTGGCATAGTTGTTGATTCTGATTTAAAAATCAAATTTAAAAATATAAGTCTAAAATAATTGAATGCACGCCGAAATGAGTCTATGCCGAAATGGGTTCACGCCAAAATGGTTTACGCCGAAATGGCTAAGCTGAAACGGCCACGCCGAGATGTCCTAGACCGCTTACAAAAGGTTTAAATTGTTCGTCAAAAGGGAAAATAATTTTTAACATTTTGATTTACTAAAAAACACAACCACCGCGAGTGTATAATGGAACACAGTGTATATATGTTACCATGCGTTCTTAATTAATTTAATATAAAACACATTTCTTAAAAAATATGAATGTGTTACCGTTCGTAAAAACAGAAATTTCCCATAAAAAGTAAATCGAATAAGAGCCTAAGCAAATAAACGTGTTTTCAAAAAAAATAAAAAATAAATAAAAAGTGATTTAGAGGGTTCACCGAAAAAGGTTTTGTGTATATCAGAGTATAGTTGGGTTTGCTAACATAATAACGGTTCGCTACTGGAGTCCAATAGTCGAAATTCACAGATATTATTTCACCGCGTTAAATACTAAATAATAAGAATTATAGTGTGCGTAAAACACGGTTAACATATGGTCAACATATGCTCAATGAAAATACTGTGTATCGATTACTACGCGCGATTTATACGCATTGTTATACACGAATGAAAAACATATTTAAATTACTGGGTAGCGGTATTTGGCATATTCGTGTAATATTATTACAATAATTATAACACGCGATAAAATAAAATAACATCATAAAGTTTAATGGTGAGTATAGTTAAGGTTCAAACCATATTTACAACTATTGTCTTTTTATGATTGAACAGTCGAAAAAAAAAAAAGAATAATTGCTTTTTAGAATGATATTTAATATACACATTACTTCAAATTAAAATGTTTTAGAACTTTTTAATATTTTTCAAAGTTTATTGTTATAATATAATTGAAAAAAAAAAACGTTGCGATTTAAATTGATGTAATTTAGCGTAAAATTTACTTTGGTATGTTGTGATTAAAAGACGGATACGAACAAAATATATTATGTATTGAATCATCAAATTTGGATTTGATTTTTTTACAGTAAATAATATTATAGTTTATAGTTAGATTATACTATATTATAGTTTATTATATATATATTCATAAAATGTATTGAAAATCTACTTGTTTTAATTTTGCTGTAAACGTTTGTTCTTAATAAATATTCGATTTTTTAAATATAGATAAATATATACACTTGGAAAAATAATTTTCATTCTCTTTTAGTAGATATTTTAGTGATTCGTTTGATTTCAAAATAAAAATTATAAATAAAAAACTTATGTCGCAATTGAGATCAGAGTTTCAATTTTTTTTTTAAGTTCTTTTTATAAAAAACCTTAGCATAAATTTGTTCGTTAATATTTTAATTTTTTTTTCGTTTTGAATACTGTAATGAAAATATCAACTAGCGATTCTATCATATGATGCTGACCATTGATACTTTTATTCGGTGGCACCATTACTTACTTGATACTTAATATTATTATTCTACACATCACGTCACTTTTGCACCACACATCTCTTTTCAACATCATGCCTTCTTTTTAATATAGTATATAAAAATAAATTAACCTAACCTGATCAGTTGTATAATCAATTAAAGTTAAATTATAGTTCTAGTTTTATAACAGAACAAGCTCTTAAGTTGACCACTTCGTAACAAGGGTTATACAGTAGCACTCTCATTCTCTATGTTTAATACAAACTAAATACTTTATTAACTATTTCTGTTTTTGTGTAATATCCTGTAGTAACCATTTTGGTTTTACTGTAATGTCCCCGACAATAACAAAAAAAAAAAAAAAAACATTTTGATCACTACAACACGTAATCCGTTTCTAGAATGAAAATCGATATAAAAATAATTCAAGGAAATTCGAATTTCATCGAACCGTAATTATTAATTAGCATGCAAAGAACGAGGGAATAAAAAAAACTCACTTATGGTTACACGAAATGATTGATGGATATCTGATATGAGGTAGATGCGACGGCGATTGCAACGTTGGCGGCGGCTTCAGACACTGTTTACTGGAGACGGTCTAAATGACTACTGACCGCCGTTGTAGTGGTGGTGCAGATAACACAAATCGGCCAAAGATAAACCGGCATTATGCGTTTACAAAAAAAAAAAAATACACACACACACACAAACACAAATAAAATGTATACATTTTTTTTTTCACAACCCCCACCCTACCACTACCACCGCCACCGCTACCACCACTCCGGATCTCCAAGGGGATCAGTTATCTTTGCGAAGAAGGGTAGTGGCCTCAAGGTATTGTGCGCGTGTAGTTAGGTAGGTGCGGCTTATAACCATACACTGTTGTTGATATACAATATCATATATACTACCGTATACGCGACCGGGTTAATTAAGTGGAAATTTTCTATTAACTTGTTGCCGCATCCCTATACCTACACACGAGCACACACAAACGCCGATGAAACCAGTTTACAATATGAAATGAGAATTATAATACTGCACCGCCACCTCCTGTCGGGCTATCCAGAATTTGACCGTCGATATTCCATTTATTTTTATTTATTTTTCGATAATCATGCTTCAGTGATGGTTAGGTATACCGTACGCGTGCATGGATACGCACACAAACCATGCATGCCTGCAAATAATACATGTGCCATACCTTTGCTACGCAGCCGGACTCGCTCCGGAACGTTTTGTTTTCATTTGCTTGTATAACGAGTGGGTCTTGTGAATGCTCAATCGTCCTTAATGTTTCCACGTAACGTCACTATAGACCATTGTGACATTTTGTTGTTTCCATCGTACGTAGATTCGCAAGGCATGTGTCGTATAAACACAACAAAAGTACCTCGACTGAATTGGTAAGATTTATTTTTTAATCGATTATTGTGAGTCGCCGAAAATGAGTATTTCGACACACAAATATCACTGTTCTTACCGCACGGACTGCTACTGACACATATATGATGCTGATATTTAAACGTACCGAATATCCACGCACCGGTTTGATATTTTCTCTTTAAGATTAGGATTGCTATTAAAATATTCAAGAGTTAGATTTTTACTTTGTTCTTAGTCGGCACGTATAAACACACATCTCAATAAGGTAGACAAAGAATTGCCGCTCGTTCATACCGAAGACTTCAACAAGCGTTATGAACGGATCGGCGATTTTTGAAAGGAACGGCTTACCAATATTTTAATATTTATAACATTATCGTATGTCACGTCCGAGCTACCAGATTTCTCATAAGATTCACTACTATTAATACATATTTCTTTTTACACGACGATTTGATTATTATACCGTTGTCAGCAGGTCCGAAATAACGTATTATAATATTTTCAAATTCCTTTTTCGTCTAGTCAACGATACTCAATACAGTTGAAAACGTAATTGAAAAGAAGTATATTAATAAATTATCTATTCATACGTATAATATTTGAAAACGTCATATTCTACTAGTAATCATTAAAATTATTCAAAGTCATTATTATCATAAGTTGAAAAACGATTTCGTTATAATATAATAAAAATAGTTTTTTATTAAAAAACTAATATTTAAATTTGTTCAACATTAGTCGGGTCTTTCAATAAAACTTTATTGGGAATTAAAGATGAAGCAAATAATATGTCTATAGTTTAATGTTATTATTAAGTCTAATTGAGAATTAAAAAAATTATTTTGAATGTTGTGTACTTTATTATGATACAATATTATGTTCATTTAACACATTTTTATAGTGATAATATAATTTTTGGTGAAATTATATTTAAAATAATACGTATTAATGAAAGTGAACAATAATAACCAAAATTACTTTAAAATATTATGCTTTACATAGTTTATTTTTATTGTTTTATTTTATTTTATTTTTTTAGAATATACACAATACGGCTTTTGATAACTGTATTATAATAAAAAAATACTTAACTTAATGGTAGAAATATTTGAATTAGTTGAACAAGAAAAATTGTATTTAAAATTAGATAACATATAAAATGAAAGTAGAGATGATTTTAAAGATATTAATAATAGTTCACTTTTGTAGAAAAGTTTCAGTGTAGTATTCATAAGTTATTTTACTATAAAAAAAAAAAGTTCATACGATAAAGATTTTACTGAAAATTCTACAGCAATATTACAAAAACTACTTCCATTTTGTAAATTAGTAATAAGATTATTAAAATTTAATTTTAATTAACTTGTTCAAAGTATTATCCAGACGATTACCTATGTTCATATCTTATGAGAGGCAATATGAATAACCTTTAAAATTACTCTTAATATTCTTTGAAAAATCGTTATTTATTGTTTGAGAAGTTTCACTAGATTAAATTTGAATATATTATTTATACAAATATTATATTTCAAGATAATTTAGGTTAATTAACTGTGTACAAATTATTAAATTAATCATTGTTTTAAAGTTAAAGCTTAGTGAACTTAATTGAACATCTTTATTTCCAAAAATGTTATTTGTGTGATTAATTTTATTGAAAAAGTACTTAAGAAGATACCATACTTGTATGTGCTATCTCCATCTTACAAACGTATATAATGCAAATCTGTGTTCAGTAAAATAAATTTTGTTTTAGAACATAATATTAGTGTAAATTGGCATATTACCAAATTTAAAAGGAACAACATTAACTGTGCGATATTTAAACTTTTAAGCGAGTGATGAAATTTTATAAATTGTAAAATTTCACATAATAATTACTAGCTTGGAAATTATAATATTGTAAAAACTATTACATAAATCATCACACATACGTATCTTTAGACTTGAATAAGGGTATACTCTAATTTTGAAAACACAAAATTGATTTTAATGAACGCAGATTATCTTGGTTATAGTATAATATTATGTTTTTAAGACAGAATCAACACATGGACATGGTCCTCTTAAATAAATTTTCTGGAAAAGTGTTAATTGAAAATTGAAATACTATTATAAAACCAATACAATCCTGGTTTTATTAATAATTGTAGTATTAGAGATTCCCAATACTAAACGTATTTCTAACCACTATAATAAGACCAATTTCTTTTTATTTTAATTTGATTTTATTCACACATTACAACAAAGCAATTACATAAAAGAAAATAACAATGGTATTAATTCTGGTAAATAATAATAAAAATAAAAATAAAACTAATAACAAATGTATATAGAAAAAAATTGAATTAAATTAAGAAGCCAGCAGAATAAATGAAGACCAATTTTTATTAATCAAGAATCTCTATCGTATATATTTCAATTTCGCAAATAAATCTCATATGTTTAAATTTATTGTTTTTTTTTTAATTGCAAGTTCAAGGTATTAATTGTTTTCAATAATATAGAAGATATTTTCAATATATTCGTTTTGAGTGTGATAAAGCATGGTCAACGTGTATGAATTGTTATAACACATGGATTTTATCCATGAATTATAATTTCTACCATAGAAATGTGCTAAGATATTAGTATTATAGTTTAAAAATATTGGGAATAAATAAAAAAAATTACCAAGTAAAAATAGTGTCTTAGTCAAACGAAGTAGTGGCGTGAAGGGATTACATTTGGATCACGTGATTCATGAAAAAAATGGGATTGAGTGGTCATTAAAAAAGAAAACCAAAAAAATCATTATTATGTTAAAATACTCATTCATTGAACATACAATAATAATAATATGAAATGAGAAATACAGAATTATAATTTATAAATGTAAACATATATACAGTCAATGGTATTAGTGGTCGTTTAAACTTATGTAGTGTAACTAATTTTGGTGGGTGAGCTTATGAAATCGGTAATCCGGGTAGAAACAACTTCCTGCCACTACTAGCCAAGCGGTAGGGAACGCATATTTGTTTAAATTACAGTGAAACCTATAAATACTGAAAATCCTTAATCGCTGAAATTTTGTCCACTATTCTGAGGTGTCCGGTATTTAGAGGGAGAAATATAATATTAGAAAAGTAAAAATTGAAACTATAGTTGAAAAATGTATTTATTTATTTGAAATTATTTATAGATACACACTGGTACATAATAAATTTAAATTATTTTTAAATATGCGCAGGTAAAAAGGTAAAAAATTGATAGTATAAAAAAGAAAACTAATATATATTAAAGCAATCAGTTCTTTTAGATTTTTTCGTATTTTGACGCGAAGTTATTTTTAATTTTAATGCATTTTCTAATTCCGCTATGCTGTAGAATAATGAAGTACATTTCTGTATTTAAGAAATGTATTACGTATACCCTTCACTGCTGCCAATGCCTCCTGTAGACTTCCAATGTCAACGTCATAAAATTTCCATGACTGAACGGATAAGATAAGGTATAACAGTTTAATAATGTATAATGGGTAATATCGATAAAATACAATTTACGAGCGTAGACTTTTACCTAGACATTCCACAATTGTTTTTCTACATTTTCGATAGAAATTATTAAAATCAAAAATTTAAATTCCATAAAAGTATCCGTTATTTAGACTGACCGGTATTTAGAGGTTTTCCTATATAAAAGTAATGAAAATTTCCCCGTTCTCCAAAAAATGTCCGCTATTTAGAGGGTGTCCTTTATGGGAGGTTTCACTGTATACGAATTGAGTGATAACAAGACTGCAACAACACTAATAACCGAGTTTGGTAACATGATCGAACGGATTCACCATAGTTTTCATAATTTTAAAATGGTTTACATTATTTATCGGAGTATCCTTAAGCTGCTGTGCACTAGATGTTCCGGTTTCGCAACCGATCCCGCTCGTTTTATGAAAACGCAAAGAACCAAATCATCGCGGTTGCAGCAGGAGACTTAAACACTCGCTGTGCGTGTACAACGGCCCGTTGCACAATGCCTCCGGTCCACGATAAATATTATGACGTATCGTTTTGCTGCGCGGAGGTATCGAGTTCATCGTTGCTGCACGTCAAGCAAGGGTGATGCAACGGGAGGCGGTACACACGTACGGAAACGGATGAAACCGCGAACCCGTGTCGTCGAGGATCTCTATCGTTATTGTTGTTGTTGCTTTGTACAAAACGAAACCGCGATCGGATTTCAGTAAAATGGCCGAGTGCGGAAGCCACCACGCCAGC